CGATGTTATAAAAGAATCCCTATCTTTTATAAGAATAAAGTACATTTCGTGGATACACTTTCACGAAGAACCTATTTCTGGGATACCGCAGTCCCATGTGGATCAGAAAATAGCCACAATGTAGTACAACTAAACCCTGATGAAAATAAATATTATCTTCTCACTCCATATCCCACATTAATGCAATCACTCAAAAAATTTTCACCAGAAAGCATTCGCGCTATCGCTCGAAACCCAAATATAGACTTACAATCAATAGGAATCTATTCAAAATCAGATATTCAACATCACATAAGAACACAACAATTCCAAGAATTATTAACACAAATGGACACTATACAAAGACAATCAATTGACCAAAATCTACGCAAACTTGCAGAAACCGCAGGTTTTGCCGATATCTACACACAAGACTATAGCGGATATTTTAAAGACATTAAAGATTATATATATCTAAACGGCGAAAAATACCGTCCCCAAGATATATCACCAATCAACATTTTTAGCTTTGTTACACTCAAGAATGAAATCCTTGATTTTCTAGGATGGCCCTACTACATCTTAGAAAAATTGACTATTTTATACGCAATGTTTAACTTTATTGGATTTCTTTTCTCACTCTTAAAAGGAATCTACAATACATGTGCTATACACACACAAGTAAACAGACAAGCAAGCGTAGCACGCATACTCTTTGCAGGATTTTTTGGAATTTTTTCCACATCTATAAACAAAATTCTTTTAGACGCACAAATAAAAGAATATAACACAAAAATAACAACACGACAAAATACATACGACGAAGAACATAACAATGTAGACATAACGCCAACGGCACCACAATTACCACCCCTACCAAATAACCATCCACTATCCCTAGTCCCACGAAATTTTCGAAATTTAGCCATCACACATAATCCAAATTTTCGACTCACCACATCACAAAGTCCCATCCAACATATAATGACACACCAGTCACAAGATGATAATACTTATGAACAAATTATTGAACAACCCCATACCACCGCTTTTCAGTCTCAAAATAATCATTTTTTTAGCCCACGATGAGCCGCCAACTTGGATCACTACACCGATCAAATTCCCACCCAACCAATCTTACCTCTCCAATCCCAATAATACCACTTTTTGCTTTTCCGCCACCCGATTTTCCATCTAGTAATGTAACATCAGGCATGAATTCCGACACTAACTCACATATTTCAGTTTTATACTCCATCTCACAGCTAAATAACCCGAATATTGAAACCCCCGATGAATTTGCCGACTCAGAACCATCCCCATCCAATAATTTTCATAACCCTTCTAATTTTTCTCAACCTCCTTTTCAACCCATATTGTCAAATAACCCTGACCCAATCACCCCCACACCCTCTTATGCTTCCCAAGTTACCCCAACCTATTCCTCATACCATTCTGACCGATCATCTCATTCTCCAGACACCCCCCGAATCTCCCCAGAGCTAGATAATTTTATTACTCTCCAACAACAACCCTACCACCTTAACACCCCGACCATAAACCAAATCTCCTCCACTACAAATTCATCAAATCCCCCTACACCCTCTTCAAATTATACTGAATCATTAACACCATCATCCACATCCACTATATCTTCACTAAACACTAACAGAGCTTACCGCACTTTTAAAAGAAAATTCCCCAACCATCCTTTCCCAGCAAAACCAGGAACAGCCCGTGAATACATCAACCACCCCCAGCATACTAACACTAAAGAATTTTTAGCTATCACTTTACCCTCGTTTCCACAATACACCTTAAACACCCCTCACGACGCTAACGAAACACGCAACTTTGTAGATGAATACGTTTTAATGCCCACTCTCTCTTGGACCTCATACTATCATTTCACTAACCCTCTTTGCTTACCTTTATCCACCACTTCCATCGACATAGAACGAAACAAAGACATGCTATATCGACTAACTACACCACTAACCGCTAGACAGTTTACTTACGTTGGATATAAAAAATCACTAAAAATACACACTGCACCTAGAGCTAATGAATATACACTAGAATACTACGATCACAACATCATCAGAGCTAACCAAGATCAATTCTTAGACGACGATCGCTTCGCTAATCCACAAATCACAGAGAAATTTTTCATCAAGACACCATATGTATTTACACTAAACATCTTCGACCGAAAGTTTGATCACATTATTTCAGAAGCACTAACAAACACACAAGCATACGAAAGTTTTAAAGAACGCTTCCAAATCTTTTCACTAACCTTTCATTTCTTTGCACCACACGAAAGAGATTTGCACTGCTCACATGATATTATGTTGCGCACTAAACAAACACATACATACAGTTACTATCGTTTCATCCAAAATCACTTTGACCTCCACACACCCTCTAGACAACCACACCATCGTTTTCAATTCATCAATTCAAAATACACTTCACCGTATTTCCTAAATTTCACATATTGTATTAAAGACACTAACCTCCATGGTATTCTTCGTAATTATGACCCCATAACCCAAATGTACATTTTCTGCCCCATCACCAAGACCTTCAACGCCGAAGAATCCCGACCCTTCCTTATCCCGCACGAGTTTGTACAGCCTATAGAAATCCCAATTTTAGAATTCATCCACAACACTAAATTTAACCACAAATTATATAACTTAATCCAAAACACACCTTATGAGTTTGCAGTAGGCACTGAAGAACTAACCACTATTAAGGCACTTCAATTGCTTTGGCCACTGCTTCAGACTAAAAATATCATCCGCATTCTAGCTAAACTACTAACAACTTCAGAACTAATTCACGACATCTTCCCCCACGGTTTTTTCCCCGACGACTAACAGGTAAGTATGAATTAAGTGAATATTACTAACTAATTAAAATAATAAAAAACTCACCATACTTTATCCATGTTTTCTTTAGATTTTTAGCCTTCATCCGATAATCACCTACAAAAACCACAAAAGACAAATAAAAATCGCAAATTTCATCAAACAGATTTCAGAAATTCTATTAATCTCTTACACTTATAAATTAATAAATTTAATACCAATGCAGTAAATTCATCTATAATATTTTCCCCCAAAGCAGTAAATCTAATTATGATGAAAATTTGTATCTTAATATTCCCCCATGACTAGCAGTAAATTTCCAAATTCTATGCAGTAAATTAATAAAATGCAATTGCAGTACTAACCTTTTGATATTTTCATTCATTCGCACAGAAATTCTATCCACACTCGCACAGCTCGCCCACGAAGAATTGTTTAAAATAATGAATTTCAGTTTCAAGTTTTCACACTCAACAACTCTAACATATAATAACATGTTTCAAACTTTCCTTTAACCCGGTTGGAAAGGAATCATATACTAAACAAAACTAACCAACGCAGCTTACTAAATACCACAAATCATAGAATAACAGCATGACTAAGAAAAGGAAACCAACGGTACCCAAACCGGATTAACCCAGTTTAAAACTGGATAATTTATTCTTTTGAAGACTATTATAAAGTCTAAGAAAGAAATAATAAAACACAAAAAAGTCGAAAGACAAACCCATACCACAAACAATTTACTTTTTGGAAAAAGGACATAACCAACAAGACATAAGAAAAACCACAACAAACCCAACATAAAACGTTGTCACATAACAGGACCCCTCACAAAAACCGCATGAAATCATACTCCCACTCCTGGCCTAACCCACCAGGAAGGACGTCCTGAGCATGCTCTATAGCCGGCCTAACCCACCGCGCTACATCCACGCTTTGTGACCACACCACTATTTTTAATAAGAGCTACTCAAGTGTGAGTAACTCTTCAAAATAACCAAACTAAAACAAAAGCTTTTGTGAAAACAACTAACTAAAATCATAATTAAAAAATATTAAACTAATAAATGTTTTATAAAATGTAAATTACATTTATGCAATACATAGATCAGAATACAACACCAAGGACGAACATCTAAAGACAAAACGACCCCACTACGCTCGAGAGAGAATGACCAACCACAATCGATATGCCACTCACAATCACAACTCAAAGGATTTAGAGTACGACTTGACTTCGCAGAAAAGGACTTCATTGAACTAGACCAATGACCACCTCGATGTTCAAGTATACGTACAGATCCGAGTAACCAGGCATCCCCTCCACGCACAATCTCCACGCCATTCCCAAACTAGATCAGACACAAAAGAAGTTCTCCACGCAGAACAGAAAAACCTGACATAGCAAACCATTCTGAAATCAGATCTGAGTTTGTTGCAAAGACTTAGTCGTTGTCACTAGAAGACACAACGTCTTATGTCTCTAACTCCAGCTCCCTGGAACTTCTTTAATAAAAAGGAAACAGAAGAAACAAGATGTTCGCCAAACACCAACGTCCATCATCCATCCTTCGAATTGCAGAAGAACTATTCTAAAAAACTCTGTAAAACCCGGATGGGTGGAACCTGATCTAAACTACATTTTATGATTGGATAAATTAGATATTTTACCAATGTAAAGTATTTAATATTAACCAATCATGATCCATCTAACTAACAACCCACTTATTTGTAAGTGCTGAAGTTACTTGTAATTTCAGCACCAGAGAGATTTGAATTTAACTTAGAAATTAGTTGGACTCTCCCGAGCACTTCAGCAGCCGCAATAAACCAGTATACCCTAGATCTATTGAGCCTAGCAGAGACTAGTTAAACAACCTGAGACTAGATAGTATAAGAGTAAGATTAGGATCGGTATTAGACTAAGAAGTTGCACGAATCTATCCGGCCGAAAATAAGATAGCGTGACGAGCAGACGGTGTACCCTATCCGAAATTACTCTATGAGTTATACACTCCAGTCCTAACTCAATTTACATCACATTGATTTGTAATTAGTTTGAATTTACATTGAGTGGCGTGGTGCTGATGTCGAAATATTTTTCTCTCGACAATGTCAGATACACGATGCGTAATTTATTAGGGTTCACTGGAATCGACCAGCACTACGAGGCGCCTGTGAACCCAGATCTAACTCTGAAGACGGGCCAGATGTCACTATCAGACTGTGTGCAGGCCATCATCCAGCTACTGCAGGAACACGGAATAGTACCAGAAAGTGCCAAAGATGTGGTCAAAACACTACAGGTGAGATTGAAGATAGGAATTTAAGCAGCTGTTGCTGATACTTGACCAGCTCTTTGTTATATTTTTGGTGAAAAAAATCGAAATGTTCTCAAAAGGCGCATTCAGCGCGACGCTAAAAGGTACTTATTTTTGACGGCGAGTGCCCAAAAAAATTTCAAAAAAGCACTTAGCAACGGCATTTTTGGTGCTTTTTCTCAAAATTTGGCCGGCACTCAAAAATTTTTAGCAAAATAGTTTGTAGTGGAAATTGGGAGAAATCGAAAAGTCATTTTAGTCGACCTAAAACAAACGTAGACAAAATAATATTCTACTTTTTTTTGAAAATCCGCTCCCTTCTGGAGAATATAATCCTGGCTTGTATTGAATGGAAAAAGTATTTACCGTGTGAACTATTTCCCTCTTAAGCAGATTTAAGGTAGCACCATCTTGTTTGACTGGGAGCCCAAAAGTTAATTATCAGAGTGTGCTGCTCACTAAGGGCATGCAGATTCTATGACTCTTTTTCGCAAAATTATCATTCAAAAAACCGAAACAGTTATGAGCAAAAGGAATAAAATTTTACAAAAATCTTCAAAACTTCACTTTTTTTTCTGAATCAATTACAGTAATGGGACATTAGTACTTTTATGACCGTTAGACGCGAGAAACTTCCCTGTCCTATTATGGCTAAGTGTGACTTTAGCGTGCTCGCCACTTCAGAACCATTTGTAGCTCCTTGGTTTAAAAATACGTGTTGAGCCAGTATTAGGCGCTTGCGTAATCTTCAATGGTGTTATAATTTATGGACATGTTTAAGATGAAACGTATTTGAAATCTGTAAGATCCTTCTACACTATCTCCATGAAGTGCTGTTTAGTCTTGGTATGATCTAACATTAATACTCCACTTGTATTGTGTTTACTAAGTTATAAAAAGCAAGCTGTATCAACTTACGGAACACAATTGAAAAATCATTCCCGGCATTCTAATAACGGCGATTTAACTGATATTTCTAAGAGAGCCACGATGGTATAATACAGATATGAAAGGATAAACGTTGAGCTTAGTAGTGATTAATGAGATTGAATGCGGATTGCGATTGATAGACGAAGCTCAAATGCATATCAGCTCAAAAACAAGTTATTTTGAAAATAACGCTTTGTCGAAATTCTACTTTTGTGTTTTGGGTAGCTTTGTGTACTGCGATGTGAAATTTAATTAAAAAAAATGGTTTCAAACTTTGAACTCAGAAAAAGTTTACATGCTCCTAGAGGAATATGAAAATATATGAAGCAAATTTAGAAGATTGAAAAGTTGTAACAATCATGCGACTCTAACAAAATGATGGATATGTTGGTGACAGCCCAGATGTGTTGCTACCCAAATTTACTTGATATAACTTAAGCGTTATCACGTTTTTCTCTCGAGGGAAAAATTGACGAAAGGTATTTTGCTTGAAAGCTTTATTTGAACTCAATTGTTCCGGCTAATGTTTCATTGGCTTGTTTTGCGTTGTTTTAAGGGAAAACTAGTTTTTTCTCCTTTGTTTGAACTTCCGAATCTTTTTCGTAACAACAATTTTGTTTTCAGCTCAACGGGATTTTTTTTCCCGAAAACTTGTCGAAATAGTTACCGCGCGATAATTATTTCTGTATAACTATTTAACAACGTTGAATGTGTTTCTTGACGTTTTCTGATCAAATTGAAAATCATTTCAGACAAAATTTTGAATTTTGTTTAGTTGTAATTTCGCGAAATTTTTTTTCGACTTATTTGCTTTCCTTCCATTTTCTGTCTGCTAGCTCAAAATGCTATGTTTGTGATAAAGTTATGTGTGAATATATCAAATAAGTGTTTTGAAAACCATTCCTTTATTGCAAAGGCCGAATTAGTTACTTCGTTTGAAAATCGTATGTCCTCAAACCTTGAATAAGTTTTTTTGTATAGAGGTTAGTAAGTATTTGGTGCCATAAGGAGAGAGGCCGAAATAAGCTTTCATAAATGTGGTTTGTGAAAGTTGTTCGAAATATTGTGCAATATTGTGGTGCCTATTTTAAATCAATTCAGCAACTGATCCATTCTTGTGTATAGGTCAGCCCAGAGGAAATACCCGCTCTGACTGAAGAGGCCAAATCGCTACCAACAGTCGACATCACCACTCTGGATCTCCAATGGGTGCAAGTTTTGGGAGAGGGTTGGGCCACACCTCTGTATGGCTTCATGAGAGAGAGGGAGTACCTGCAGTCGCTCCATTTCGGATGTCTAGTTGATGGTTAGTTCATTTAAGTCGGTGGTAAAATGAGCAACGGTGTAAAATTGAACATCAGTTTATTAAGTTCAACGGAACATCAGAAATTGATTTTTGAGGTCTCAGTGACCGCATATCGAATATTAGAAGATTATCCGGTTATGGTTGTAACCCTTGGTGTAGATGCACAAGTATACCCTTTGCAAATAGCATTGTTTGTTATTTTTTGGACCTTGAGAGGGATTGAAATTAAGCCTTAGAACTTATAAAAAAAAGAGAGCTACTATTGAAAAAACTATATTGAAGTTAGTCAATCAGATGAATTATCACCCGATCACAAAATTAGTCTGAAGTAGCTTGCTGTAATTTGAGAGGTTTTCAATTGGGTATTTCTCAGCAGAGCAATTGCCCTTTGTATGAGTCATGAACTTAGTGAATACTCTTATATAGGTCATGGTTTTTTATATTGTTTTTTTTTCAGAATTTGCTCACGCTCATTTTATTTTGCGGTATGACTTTCGATTATTTTAAGTTCACTACATTTCCTTTAAAAGGAAGGCAAATTCCACTATCAAACAGCAAAAATTTAAAGGTTGGAAAAACGTGATCGACTTTTAATTTCCAAAAAGGAATTTAATTTTTAGATTTCCCAGCGGAATAAAAGTTTACCTTTTGAACAAGTTTTTTCAAGTCGGGTTAATTTTATTACGCTTGCGATAAGCAATCGTTATGAAATATATACTTTTTTGGCGTTAACCACTAGTTTAACAGAATCACATGAATCATTTTACTTTTGGTTCATATGAAATCAAAAGTCAGATTGTAATTCCAGAATTTGGCGAAGAGGTTACGCACCTGTCTATAAAGACAAAGGTCAATGATTCGAATCCGGCCAGGAACTGTTTTTTTTTTGTTAGTGGACAACTGTCCGCGCGTCAAAAAATCTTTGTCGGACTTCTGTTTGCAGATTTCTTGTCGACTTAATTTCAACATTTGACTTAGTACAAAATTTGCCTAAAACTTAGACATTTTTACTCAAATTTGTGTGCAAGTAATTGAGTTCCAAGAAATTTTGCCTATTTTTTTTTGATTTTGTTCATGTTGTTTACAAATTTTTTTGGTATTTGTTTTCTTTATTAATTCAAGGAGTGTTCTGTGTTCTCATGTTTGAGATGACAAGTCGCAGAAGCTCGATTCAAGTCGGGAACTGTTTTTTTTTGTGTAAATTGAAATATTTCGACTGTTTTAGGCTTTCGTGTCTGCTAATTTTTGTTGGCTTAGGTCCCGCTGAAAGGTTTGGTTTTTTAAAGCATTTTGAAAGCTCTTTTTTGAAGTTTCGAATGGTGCAGGTTATTTTAATCCAGTAATTTTTCTAAATTCAAATGTCTATAATAACTTTTTTTGACGTCTTCATTTTTTGATTTGTCTTTTCATTTGCTGGTAATCATAGTCATTAATTTTTGCATCTCAAGCGATGCGAAGTTAAGTCAGTATTCTTTTTTCTTGCATTCATTGACTTTTCCAACTGCCTGTTGGCTGTTGCTCAAAATCTTATTTTGACTGAAGGGGTTTTAGCTTAAAACTCATAGCACAGTAAACGAAAAACTAAATAATACCACACAATATCTCTGTGGGACCTTAATTACCTGATTAAAAAACTCAAATTCAAGTTTTTCCCCTTGTGTGGCTGTAACAATTAATTGATAGAAGTTTCCATTTTTCCCACTATTCAAACATGGATATGGATATATTGAATATGGTGGGTTTTTGCTTCCAAAATCAGGCAATTCAAAGAAAGATCGCCTCAAGGAACGTTCCCGCCGAAATTTATCTGAGTACCGAGAACAACCGGACTAACTCCTTTTTTCAGACTGAACCATTTTTTTAGGAGGCATGAACATAGGAGTCATGAACAATACTCTTATGTAGGTCTAATTGATTTTTTGTTTGTTTTTTTTTCCGGAAAAAGCCCTAGTTCAGGTTTAAGTTTACTTTTTCGCGGTTTGATTTTTGGTGTTTTCCCTTGCGACAATCAAGGGTTTTGCAATCAAGTACTAGACTGTTTTCCGTTAATAACTTTGTTCACAGAATGGTCAAAATTAGACATGGTAATTTAAAGTTCAGTTCATGAGAAGTTCAATTTTTTTTGCCTCTGCAGTACACTTGGTCTAGAGAGAACGAATACGCCTGGGACAGAAAAGGTCTTGAGTTCGAATCTGACATGACCTGTTTTTTTTTCAATCGGTAAATATTTGGTTTCAAAAAAGTTGATGGCTTATTGTTTGTCTGATTAAGTTTTGTCGGCTTAGTTTGCCACATCGCAGAATTGTTTCTTGCTGTTAGCAAGTTACCTTGTTGTTGCTTCTAGAATTTTAAGTCTTTTTCTGCTATTTGTTATTTAACTAACCTTGGTGCCTAATTTTTGCGGCCTAATTGATTTTGGCTTATGTTTTATCGCTTAGTGACCCATTTTTTAGTAATTTCAAGCAAAACATAATTTTCATGCTCCCATCTGGTTCGCACAAAATGCTAAAAATCTTAATAGAATTTATAGTTTTTCATAACAAGAATTTTTTTTCGGCTGTTTTATTTTTTTCCTTGTTCCACTTGATAGGTTTCGCATTCATTTTAATAGACATAGTTTTTTGACGTTTTCGGTTTTTTTTCCGACTTATCCTTTGCGACATTTCATGCTTTCCTTGTGTTGTATCGCAAGTGGTGCATAGCTCAGCTTCACGTCTGTGTTCACTTCCTAAAAAGAAAATTACGAAGCCAAGGTTAGTTAAATAACAAATAGCAGAAAAATATTAAAAATTCTAGAAGCAACTACAAGGTTACAGCAAAAATTTAAAGCTCACAAAAATTGTGATCGACTTCTAATTTGGAAAATGGATTTTAGTTATCAGATTTTCAAGCGAAATAAAAAAAACACTTTTGATCCAGTTTTCTCAAATAAGGTTAATTTTATCAAATAAGTGTCGATCTTAAATTGTTCTTGAATTTCAAAGAGCTTTGAGGCCATTTTTCTTTTTTTATTTAATTCAATCGTTTTTTCAAAAGTATTTTTTTTACGTTCCTGAAAAGAATTCCTTACTTTCATGACTCCTTTCAAACTATCTGTTGGCTATGTTCTGATAATTTTTGATTGAATGTCAATGAACTTAATGAAGACTTTTCTATTGTTCGTGATTTTTTTAAGTTTATTTTTCATCTGGAAAAAGTCAACTTGTTCAAGCTTTACAGATTTCCCAGTGGAAAGCTTTACCTATTGATCCAGTATTCTCAAGTTTCGAAAGTCGAAGTTTTCTCAGTTTTGCGTTCATTGCCTCTTTTTCCAACTCTGTTGACTGTTTTCTACGACTTTTATTAAGGTAATCAGAACACTCTGTGTTACTTGAAAAGCAACAGGCTATCCTATCCCTATTTGATTCTAATATGATGACCTTGAACTCCTAGCTTCTTTTTCGCATGTTAAAATCTATGATAACTTTTTTCGGCCTTCATAGATAGATCATTTCTATTGATGTGTATAGGGTTTAGGAATTCTTTTTAGACTGTGTCGGAGATAATTTCAGAAGTAAGTGCATGCTCTGTTTGTTTGGTTATTAACTCAAATTCAATCAATCAGCATAGCTTCAAATTTAGCTTGTTAGTTTTGGTCCGTTCGCTGCTAGATAGCGTTTTGTGTTTACTTTTCGTAGTTTGATGTCGTTAATCTAGAAATATTCAAAAAATACTGCAACAGTCAGTGTTAAGGGTTGATTTATGAAAAAGGGCAATCGGTTGCACGAAATTCTGAATTAATTGGGCTTGCTTTAGTGTTAACGCAAGAAAACTACAACCAAGTTAACTATCTTTCATTTATTCTTTGATAATGATACCTGACAACGAACCCGATTCACGAATACTGACAAATGGAATGGCTACGTATTTCTTACCAACTATTGTTAAACTAAAATTTAAGTACGCGGTGACGCAGTATATTGTAAAGGTACTAATTTACGACTTATAACTTCATCTAGTTATTTAACAAAATGGTGCCTGGAAATTTTTTTCATTTACCACGCATCATTGCCTGGTAAGCTTCGCGAATCGTTGCGTGGCGTACCAGGCAAAGTTGCGTGGTAAATGAAAAGCTTTCCAGGCACCATTTGTTAAATGACTAGGTGAAGTAATAAGTCGTAAATTAGTACGTTTACAATATACTGCGTCACCACGTACTTAAACTTTAGTATAACAGCACACGTGTATTAACTTATTTATATTTTTTTTGACTTCAGCTTATTTGCGTCACTTAGTTATAAAGTGTCATTTTGAGTTATCTCAACGATATTATTATTTTTACATGCCTTTGCGAATGTTCTTTTTAACTTTTTCATGTGTTGGTTACTTATTTGGTTTGTTTTAGCTGATCAACATATGAATGCGCTCTCTCAAAAGCTCTCATTTTATCCCAATAACAGTGAGATGATTGAATGGATAGTCTTTTACATTTATTCAATGTCCGTCACTCAGTAAAATCTTTCTTAGATTGATGTTTTAGTTTTCAAAACCTGCATTTTAGCTTGCTTAATGCTCAAGCCAAGTTTTTATTCCATGTGAAATAGCAGGAGTTCAATTTGAATTAAGTTTTTATGTGAAGGAATGACATGTTCAATTTGTTCATCGGGTATAATCATACAATAGTTGCCAATGAGACAATGTTTGAAGTTTCTGTATTTTGTGTAGGCGGCGTGATCAACCAGTCTGTTCCGATTGTGTTGCCTGTGAGTAATGAGGACAAAGATAGGTTGTCGGAGGCAGAGGCACTGGCACTGAGACACAAAGGAGAAGTGGTGGCTATCATGCGAAAGGTGAGAGCCAGTCAGTGTAATCAGATGTAGAGTGAGTGGCTAATGCATGCTCTGCTTTTCATTTGCGAGATCAAGTGACTTGTATACTACAGGAACTAGGTTTTTCCCATCAACAATTTTTTTTTACAAATCTGTACGAAATTGAACTTGCCTTATTATGTAACCTCGACACTTTCGAGGCACCTTCTCGTTTGGTCTAGCTATGCCTGGGGTTTGAATCGCTGACGGACCTTTTTAAGAGTAATGAACGTAGTGAAGACTCTTATATAGGTCTTGGTGATTTTTTTGTTTTTTTTTTCAGGAAAAAGTCTTGAAGTGCTCTAATAACTACAGATGTGCATTCATACATATTAATGCATTTATGAATGCACTTAGGTATATATATGCACTTTGTTCAATTGAAATTCATCTGCGCTGAAAGTTACGTAAATAGCACTCTCCAATTACGAACGTGGAAATGGCGCGAAAAAACGTGAACGATTTCTAGTTTCGAAAGTGGAATTTAATTTTTAGTTTTCCAAAAGCGATGTGCGGAATAAAAACTATAACTATTGATCCAGTTTTCTCAAGTTGGGTTGATCTTGTCAAAAAAGCGCCTATCATAAATTGTTCTAGAAATTCAAAGAGCTTAAAAGGCATATATTTTTTTCTTTGAAGTTCGAACATTTTTTCAACAAAGACAGTGTTTTTTTTTCTGTTTACTTGCGTTCATTATTTTGATTACTCGTTTCCAACTGTCAGTTGGCTATGTTTTTTTTTCGCTACGTATCAATTTGATTTTTTTCTGAGAAGTTTTGAATAGTCCGAATATCGTTTATCTGCTGTTTTATCGACTTCTATCGAATAAAATAAAGTTGATATCCAGTGTATGGAATTGTCTAATGTAAAATTTTTTTTGGAGTCAGAGTTATGAGTTCATTATGAACTCAGCTATTAGATGTAATTTAGTTGAAAACACAAGTCATTATGAGTCAACAAGTTTCAAATAAACTTTTCGACATGGAATCATCTCCGAAAGTGTTTCTTGTAGCTTCGTTAAACTTCTTCATGCTCTTTCGAAAAATGTGCCTTCCACCCACCTAATGAGAGGAACATGCTAAGTAAATAAATGATAATAACAATTAGTCGTTTGTTACTTAATTTACGACCTTTTTGTAATTTCTTTGTCGCTTTTTTTTGGCTTATGTTTTGTTTCGGCTCGCCTTATATCACCTTAGTCACCTTATATTGTCGTCTTAAAGGCAAAAAATTCCATGTTTTTGTAATGTTTTGGATAGGGTGGGGTGTAAAATTTTTGAGTTTTTTAACTCAATAGTTGAAATTATTTTAAAAGAAATTTTTTTATGACATTTTTTGTTTTCGACTGAACGGTCATCGATCCAAGACTTGTCGGTTTAGTGTACGCCCGTTAAGTGATATTTATTGCTGTTAGTTGTGTATTCCTGAAAATGAACATAATTCAAGATAAAGGTTTTTAATCTTTGAAGGATTAGTTTTTAAAAATATTTTCTGATTTGGTGATTTCTCCTTTATTTGCTATTTCTTAGCTTGCAATGCTATGCTTGCGTTGTATCGCAATTGTTGCGAGAAAAAATAATTGTCGCTACAAAAAGAGGTTAGCGAACGCTAGTAGATGGTTGATGTGTTCATAGCACGCAATCGATTGACTGACTGAAGTTCATTTTATGTTAGTATCGCGCCAAATTTTGAAAATGAAAAAGAAAAGTCGAAATTTATAAAAAAAATTCCTTTTAGGATAGGAAAAGATTGCCGAATTGATCCGAAAGTTGTTCACTCTCGAATTAAATTATCTGAGCTTCGCTTTTCATCTTTCGAAGTTTTGATTTGAATTCATATGCTAAAAGGAAGCTAAGCAAAATTGTAAATTGCACAAAAAAACGTTTGTTTGAATAAAAAACGTTGCGAAATTTTCATTACTTGATTGCGACAAGAATTTTGGACGTCCTATGTGCTAGCGTTTTTTTCTCCAAAATTTCAAATTTATATTTTGGGTGTCATACTTCTGAAGCATTTTGTTCCCAGGTGGAGTTTTTCGAGCACCGTAAGGAGGAGAGAGTGTCGAGGCAGTTCGGACTCAGCCATCCAGACCACCCCTACATCAAAATGATCAACGAGTCAGGTATTTGTATATTAGCAGCAATAATAAATATATGTGCAGTCATGAATAAGTATCTCAAAAAAGTGGTATTTGCAAAAACTACTCTGTAGCTCCTTTTCGAACATGATTTTAAGTCTTGCTTCTGTAAGGAATAGCTTAAGTTTCGGCGACCTGTAGTTGAAATTATGCAAAGAGATTTAAATGAACATGTAACAGTGTTATAGCAGCCTGTAAATATTCTCATTGTAAATTTTTAATATCGATGTTTTTTCAGGCGAGTGGTTGTGTGGTGGCGATCTTCAAGTATTGAAGAGAATCACGTGGAACGATGGCTTGGACCAATACAGGCTTACTCCCAATGAACTCAGAGAAAGGTATTAAACTGCACTCTGCCCAAATTGAATTGTCCGATAAAAACTGCTGTAGATTTTGATTGCTTATGAATTGTGGTCAGGGGCAGCACTAAGGTTCTCTCGGGGAAGGGCGGTTTTTCAAAAAAAAATTCAAATTTTTTCTCGACCTTTTTATTAGGTCGACCAAATTGATTTTCCGAGCACTCCTAGAACACTATAATAACCCTACTTTAACTAAATTTGAAAAACAGGTCGAAATTATTATATATTGGCGCCCAATGCGTCTTTAGAAACATTTTAGAGTTAGCCACCGAAAATGGATATCATTACGCTTGCGATTAGCAAGCGTTATCAAATCGGAATGTAGACTTTTTCTATTTACCAACTAGTTAAACAAAATCAGTTGAATCACTTGACTTGTTCAATGCTCTACACCTGACATGCTCTTCAGCTCACATACTAAATTTGATGAAAATTCAAATTTAAGTACTGGCTAGGTACTAGTTACTACAGGCTAGTTTCACGGGTATTTGAAAGTTCTAAAAGTTCATTTTAAATGACAAGTTTTTTTTCGGCTCAACTGGTGTCTGCTCAAAGATTGTCGGCCTTGTTTCCGCTTCGCAAGTTTTGTCCAGTTGCTAATTTGAATTTCAAATGTTCTGCTTGGCTTGTTTTTCTAGAATTCTTGTGTGATAAAAACAGATATTATGAAAGTGTACGGGTTTTTATTTCTATTTTTCAGGCGCTTTGGAAAATTTTTACTTTTTGGAAAAATAAGTTTTTTTTTCTCAAAAACCCTGCTACCGATTTTCAAAACAGGGGTATTCATAGAAGGACCGCCTATATTATTGCGTGCCTGCATACTCACCTGGTCTTTTTTTGCTTTCCCATTTTTTCTACAGCCTTCGGAAAGGTCTGTGGGGGGAATATTTGACCGATTTTTTTGTGATTTTTTTCATTTTCTCGAAAACCCATCCCAAATCAGAGGTTGTGGATTCAATTGAATAAATGGGTAGTGGGAAGCTCCTCTGTATTAGCGGTACCACTCACATTTTTCTTACACAAAAAATTATTGTCCTCGGAAAATAAGTTTTTGAGCGGTTTTTCAAAATTTTATAAATGTAACCAAAAAATGCTCTCTCATATCTGAGATTTTCGGTTCAATCGAAAGAACGGGATGTGAGAAGCTCCTTTGCTCACGGGATAACGCCCGATTTTTTTGACACAAAAAGTTATGGCCCTCGGAAAAGTCTACAGTTTTGACCTTTTTTTGAAACTTTTTGCCTTTTCTCGAGAACTACTCTCCCAAATTTGAGTTTTTTTGGCTCAACCGTAAATACAGGTTGCGTGAATTTCTTCTGCATAAGCGGTTAATCCCAAATTGTGTTACACAAAAAGCTATGATTCTCGGAAATGTCAATTCTTTGTTTGTTGACCTAGCCTTTCTCAGGTCTTTGGGTTCAATCGAAATTACAGGTTGCTTCAATCTCTTCTGCATAAGCGGCTGATCTTAAATTTTGTTACACAAAAAGCTATGATTCTCGGAAATGTCAATTCTTTGTTTGTTGACCTAGCCTTTCTCAGGTCTTTGGGTTCAATCGAAATTACAGGTTGCTTCAATCTCTTCTGCATAAGCGGCTGATCTCAAATTTTGTTACACAAAAAGCTATGATTCTCGGAAATGGCATTTTTTTGTTGACCGTTTTTTGGACTTTTCACGATAACTATTCTGCCAAATCTGGTATCATAAGTTTAATCGACCGAATTACCCTTATAATTTGTTACGCCCTGTTTCTTTAAGAAAATAGCTATGGCCTTTAAGTAAGTTTTGGAAAATTGGACCGTTTTTAGAAATTTTCTGCTTGACTCGACAATTACCGTGTCTATTCTCAGGTTAGCGTTCAATCGAGAAAAGCGATGTTGGGAATCTTCTCTTCTTTACCAGCCACGACCTGCGTTTGGCAGAAAAAAGTTATCGACTTTGGACAGTCAAGTTTTTGAATTCTGACCATTTTTTAGAAACTTTGCGAATTTTTAAAAACTACCCGATCAAATTTGAGATGAAAATCGAAAGAAGCGGTTGCGCGAATTTTTCTTGCAGAAGCGGCTTCTCCGTAATTTTTGTTCTCACTTATTTTAGTTGAGAATCAACTAAGCTTTTTGTGCAAAGTTAATTTTTGACTCCTGCTTTTTTATTGTATCGGGTGTTGTATCGCAAATGGTGCGAAGCTCCGCTTCGCCTCTGTAAAATAATAATTCCAGTGATATTTCTGCTATTTCGTTGTACCTATGCCTTATAAAGCTGCTGAATGGTGTCAGCTTAGGGCCATTCGTTTCAAAGGATCAGTTTATAAGTGTGGTGTTTAGGTTCCGTGAGTTGGGAGCGGATGCTGTGTTTGCGTTCCAACTAAGGAACCCGATCCACAATGGACACGCACTCCTCATGCAGGACACCAGACGGCGACTCCTCGAGAGGGGCTACAAGAACCCCACTCTCCTCCTCCATCCACTAGGTATGGGTTGATTGAGTGCTTCTGATAACATTGTGGGTATTGAACTTTTTTGGGAGAAGTAATGAAAGGCTTTTAAATAAAATTGAAGCTTACTTTTAGTTGTTCACGTGTCAGTTCTATAGCTAACAGAAGCGAAATTTTTATTGAGTAGTATCTGCCATGAAGATTGCAGCCGTCAATTTAGTTTTTAATACGACACTGTTTGGCTGTACGTGACAACCCGAATGTTTTCGGTCCTGACTTCTTGTATAGTTGCTAACCATATAACTTGTTGAAGGCGGCTGGACGAAGGATGATGACGTGCCACTTCCAGTGAGGATGGAACAGCACAAAGCAGTGTTGTCAGAGGGAGTATTGGATCCTCAATCCACAGTCATGGCTATTTTCCCCTCTCCCATGATGTACGCAGGACCCACAGAGGTAAGTGCATATGCATCTGTATCTCAGTTTGAGGTCCTATATTCGAGGCATCGTAGAAGTTGTTTTTGGATTCGTTTATCGAATTTTTCAAAAAAGTACTCGCTGTGTAGACTTTTTCAGAATAAAAAGGGGGCTTTATGGTGTTATGGGAAAAATCCTAGATATCCGCCTGGTCTATATCATTCAACTTTTTGTGTTATCATCGTATTGGTTTGTTTCAATTCTCGAAGCTAAAATGATATACTACAGATGTTCTTCTCAGGTGCAATGGCATTGCAAAACGAGAATGATTGCGGGCGCCAATTTCTACATCGTCGGCAGAGATCCCGCAGGCATGGCACATCCTGTCACCAAGCAGGATATATATGAGGCCACGCACGGAAAGAAGGTTCTTTACTACTTTTTATCCTTTCTAATTACAAGCTGCTAAAATGCATGAAGTAGAATGAATTAGTTTCAGAAAAGGCCCTGAACTGAATGCGCTTCTTGATATTGATCGAATTCATCACAATTATTTAACTCAGTTTGCAATTTCCCTAAGAATTTTATTAATTTTGCATATCCAACTTTATTTCGACACAGTTCTTGAACTACACCAGACAATCGGAGGATCTTTTTAAACTAGCTATTCTCAGTAAGAAGCTCGTGCTGATGAATGGAACTCTCATTTAAGGTACTCTCAATGGCCCCTGGCCTGAACTCTTTGGAGATTGTGCCGTTCAGAGTGGCAGCATACGACACGAAACAGCACAAGATGGACTTCTTCGACCCCGAGAGGAAGGAGGACTTCCTCTTCATTTCAGGTCAGAGAACAGACAGAGAAACGAATGATTGTTTTATGATGTACAATGGATGAAGATAGATGTAGTGTATGAAGTTCTTCTGCCCGAAAATGGATATATACATCCAATGGTGCTCTTCCAGGCTGTTTCAAATTTACGAAAGTACCATTTCGTGAACTTTTGTATATTTTTTGCCTGAAAACAAATAATTAAAAATTGCCTGACTTGAAGATTAATACTGGATCAGAGGGTTAGGATCAGTTCTATCCAGTTTGTATTTTAACCGAATAGTACCACAATATATGGGAGACTTGGGTTAAAAACAAGGGACACTTTGAAGGGGCGGATCTAGGATTTTTTCGAGGGGGGGGGGGGGCGGATTTTCAAAAAAATTTCGAAAATTTTGACGACTTTTTTTTCTAGGCCTACCAAATTGATTTTTCGAGCTCTTCTAAAGCACTAAAAAGTCCCTGTTTTGGCCAAATTTTCTGCGCCGCAGGCAAATTTTTGAAAAAAAAACAGGTCAAAAAAGCCATTTTTAGGCACTTTTTGAAAAATCGTGACAAAAATCGGGTTTTTTTGGCGCGCGCTCCCCCTCAAAAGTTAGTATATATTGGCGCCAAAAGGCTGCTTTAGAAAAATTTTAGGGTCGGTCGGCAAAAAATGAATTTCTTAAAAATTACCAAAGGGGGACCCTTTGGGTCGGCAGGGGGTCGAATCCCTGAGAGGGGGCGTCGGCCCCCCCCCCCCCCCCCCCCCCTAAATCCGCCCCTGACACTTTATGATTTTTAAACAGATTTAAGCAGGGTAGGATCTAGGATTTACTCGAGGGCGGGTTTTTAAAAAAATGTCGAAAATTTTGTCAACCTTTTTAAGTTGACCAAAATGATTTTCTGAGCTCTCCTGAAGCAGTAAAAAGACGTTTTGGCCAAAATTTCAGCGCCGCCGGCTAAATTTTGATTAAAAAAACTGGCCAAAAGCAGCCTTTTTAGGTACTTTTGGGAAAGTTTTAACCAAAAAATCGCGGTTTTGTCGGCGCGCACTCCCCCCTAAAAATTAGTAGGTATTGGGCCAAAGGCGCCTCAGACAAATTTTAGTGTCCGACAGCCATGGATTTCTTAAAATAGTACAAAGGGGGTCGGCAGGGGGTGGATGGATCCTTGATCCGCCCCTGGATTTAAGACTTGTTAAGAGTTTTGCAACAGTTTCAATTTGTGATAGTCAGATCGTGTAATCGATCCCCTGTCTTGGCAATGACATTTCGGGTATATGAGCTCTCACTTGACCTCTAGCTTCAGGTGTACCACAGCCTGACCGGTTTTGGCTGCCACAGTGGTACTACGTGAAAGTTCTAGACGCAAAAAACGACATTGAGTCGCAAAACAGAGCAATGCTCAACTAAATAACTCATTCTGTGTGGAGAAATGAGAGAAATGGACTATGTTTGGACAGTCTGAATAGCCTTTCATAGATCCTCTGCGATTTGCAGAAACCACAATTATTATAAATTTTCCATTGTTTGTAGGCACGAAAATGAGGGGCATCGCCAAGTCTGGAGAACTTCCACCTGATGGATTCATGGCAAATTCTGCTTGGAAAGTATTAGCCGAGTTCTACCAGAAGAAAATGGCAGAAGGAGCTGCCGCCGCTGAAGTATCTGGCGCAAGTGGGGATTCACCAGCACCCCTATAGAAGCTCATGGAGTAAATGGAAAATTCAAGCAACGGTCAAAAAAGAAATTGTACTTTGTTGTCAAAAAATTGTTCAAAAGGAGGTAAAATAAATGATTTTATTCACAGCACACACGGAGTAGTTATGACTCATCACGAAGAACTTGGAAAAAAAATAAGATTCATTTGGTGCTCGTGGTAATTTTGGTCCTTCCTTTTCAAGTATGCTTTCAATTCTCATGAGTAAAAAGTAAAAATGAGTATTTTCTTTTGCTTGACTTCTCCGTTTTCTCTGTGCACTGTAATGTAGCCTCTCATTTGGCTTCTAACTTTCGTGTTTCGTATGAACAAAGTCGCATTTGGTTTCAATATGTTGATGGTTTCAAGTTACTTTTGGTCTAGTTCTATGGGGCTTTTGTTTATCAGTATATTGATAGTTTTTCTGGTTAGCAGCTACTGTCACATTTCAACACGTTAACACATATTTAAAAGTATTAAAACTTTGTTATTTCCTTCGCTAAAATTGAAAAAAAAAGTTGAGTGTTCAAATATAAGTTTTTGTAAAATAAAAACGTGTTGAATACTTTCTCCATTTCAGATTCCATTGTAGCCAAATGAGCACAAACATTGTGTGAAACAGTTCTTGTAACATTCGCTGAGTTTAAGTTGGATTTTAATATCATAAATTGCATATTCCTATTGAATTTCCTAAATTTCTTATTTGTAATCTAATAAATGAAATACAAATTGGTTTATATGTACTCTGAACAAGTTCAACTCAGTTCTTCCACAAAATTTTTTTTCCCAAGTAGCAAGCTATTTAGAAGTTATCGGAGTCATTTCGAATATGTCAGAAATGACTTCATTACTAAGGCATTTCGAATTCGCGAGTTACTGAAAACTTTAATAAAGATTTCCAGGAAAAGTTGTAGCACTTAAGTTTAATTGTTGCAGGCAAACAGTTGACATTAATCGTAGAAAAATCATTATTTGTTAAATTTTTTCGGATTAATTACTAACTCGTGTGATTAATTTGCTTGTTAATTCGGTTTTTTCACTGATGTAGATTATCCAGCGTGGCGTTCGAGGAACTATTCTTGACTATCACCAGATTATATTGCCGGTTTACAGATTGTAACTGAGAACAAAAATAGCCGGTTTTTGTACAAGTAGCAAAGAATGTTCCGACCATAGTTTTAAAAAACACAAACTTTTTTTCCTTCAAAATTAGTGTCTTTAAAATTAATTTGATCGAGGCTTGATTCGAACATTTTAAAGCTTTTAGTTGAAGCATTTCATTTTTTGGCTGATATTCTAGTAATCGAAAAATCGGATGTAGTTTCCATAAACTTTCTTTGACATTGCATTGATTAGCCATACAAAAATGTACATAACAGCCTCGGCTTTAGTTGGAAACGAATGCTTGAAGATTTTTTAGACCTCAGACACACGCAATTCTAATGTAAACAAGGATAGCTGGTTACAGTGCAAAAAAATACAAAAGTTACTGTTGTTTTTTACGCCTGGTGTGATAAAAGGATCTGGACAAATTACAATAACTTTGCCATATTCGAAAGTCATACTAAAACAGGCTAACTGGACAACGGTGTTTGAAGAAAAATGAATGAAAAACCCAAGAAAAACATTGAATATTTATTTTATTTCTTTTTTTGCAGAAATGTTTCGAAGTGTTTGATTCTTAAAATGGCGTTAATAAAACTACAAAAGCTAAATATACTCGAGTAAAACTAAAATTAAGCATAAATAAGCTCTAGTGAACAGCCTAAATTAAGCATAAATAAGCATGATCGCTCGCTGTACCCGCTCGAAATTAGATCAAAACTCAAAAATTTGAAACCGGTTTTTCTCGACATAGGAAATTTTCTTAAGCTCGTTCGTAGCACGACTGAAACGACTTTTTATGATAGTATCACTCGACCCGTTCCGATGATTATCTGTGGTATCTGATTTTGTTTGGAAAACCAAGAGAAAAAAACTAAAACACCCAAATACAAAGTTCCTCCTGATTTTTCAAAAGGTCGGAACAAAATGAAATAATTAATGGCGTACACACACTCCAGCTTGCGAGCATTGTGTTTTATTGGAGTCGATTTTTCCAATCCAACTCGCATTAAATTGTGCTCATTTTTACTGCATATGATTTGCAGTTAAATTTCATCTGCTCCCAGCTTTATCTATTTATCACTTTTATTTTTGTTGAGATTTTTTAAAATGAAAGTCAAGTGTTTTCTGTCGGTTTGTTAGCGTTCATTGAATCTTTTCCAACTGACTGTTGGGTATGTCTAATTTAATTGATTGTGAACTTGATTTTTTGGTTGTTTAAGAGTCGCGTTGAATATATTTCAATTTCTTATATAGGTCGTGACGGTTTTCGCTGTTTTTTGTCTTCAAGTTTGTTCAGGCTTAAATATACTTTTTCGTAGTTTGATTTTTGATTTTTTTCTAAGTTCATTTCATTTCCTTCGTTAAAAATGCAAACTCCACTATCGAATAGCGAAAATGTCCAAATTAGGAAAAACTAATTGTCAGACTTTCCAGTGAAATAAGAAATTACCTAATGATCCAGTTTTCTAAAATGGGATAATTTCATCAAAAAAGTGTCAGACATAAATTTTCCTATAAAGTCAGAGAGTTTGAAGACCATCTACTTGTTTTCTTTAAAGTTCGAAAGTTGATTTTCTTTCGAAAATCAATATAGTGTTTTTATCTAGTTCCTTGCGTTCTTTGACTCTTTTCCAAATCTGTTGGTTAGGTTTTTGAAATAATTAATTTTTAAAAGAGCTTGGCCGTAACCTTGCTAAATCTTACAAGATCTCAATTTAAATAGAATGTCAAGGAATACTACGAAACCGTATCGTTCAGGTATTAGAAATGCTTATACATTTTTTTTCATAAAATTGAAAAAAGTTAGTCGGGCCATTTAACTTCTGAGTGTCTGTAAACTTCATAAAATACTCAATTAATCAATATGAGAATATAAAGCATAATTGTTTTATATTACGAACTAAGTTCCGTAAAATTTTCTGTTGAGCTATTTTGTGGTGAATGAATTTTGCTGGGGCAAGAAATGTTGTAACATCAGTGAGGGTTTAGAAGCATGAATTCATTTTTTGTGGTCGAGGTTTTTGTAGGTCTTAAAACTCCATCTTCTTAAGTGTCAATAGCGGCAATGAAGACAGTAATTTAGTTCGTGATTCAAATATTTTGACGCTTAAATTTGACTTTTTCGATTTGACACTTAATTTATTTTTATGTTCAGTTCATTTTCTCTTTTAAACAACGCATTTTAAATTATGGAGGATCAAAAGTGTCACAAAAAATGTGAAGCACTTCCAATTTCTAAAATGGACTTCTATTTTGTGATTTTTTACCTTAACAAAAAATTACGTTTTGATCCAGTTTTCTTTAAATAAGCTGAGTTTACTGTGTAACTCAACTTCAGTAATTCCAGAGATACATATGGAAAGTTACGATTTGAAATTTAATTGCGACCTTGGTGTGTTGTCACGTTGTACTGGATCTTCCAAAGTACAAATGGGAAAATCAGTAGTGCTAGCTGGAATCCACGGGCCAAACGAAGCCAGAATGATGCAGATGAATTACCGTGAACTAGTAGTTGATGTCCGAGTTTATCACTTGACGTATACTTACGCGGAGAAAGATAAAATGAGCTCAATTGAGAAACTAGTTCACAATGCAGTGTTGAGCATGCTGCTTCTGACGGAGTTTCCAAGATTGGCGATTACGCTGACATTGCAAGTGAGTGTTGCTTCATTTGTCCCAAATGTTTTTTTTTCTTTCGACCCAGAAATTTACCTAGTAAAATGAAACCAGGTATAAATTAAGATAGGGTCAAGTGAATAATCATATTAAATAAATTGCAGTCGTGAAAAGTTCTGTTGAAAAAAGGCTGATTTGAAAATTTTGCTGTTTAGTCCTATTCGGAACAAGTAAAACAAGCGCGTAGTGCGAAAATCTTTAATTGAGCCGTGGAAAACTGATTTTTGACTTTAGCTGTGAACAACAAGATTTAGGAAAACTAACAAGTTCGAGAAAAAATTGAAAAACTAAGATCTATTTGTGCTACCTTCTGTGCTACTTGAACAGCAACGGACCACTCATGTTTTCTCATGTTTAACTGTCAGGTCATAATAGGTTAGGGCATGATGAACTCACATGAACTTCGAAGTGAAAATTAGACTACAACAAAAAAGTTTTTAAAACGGGCAGCTTTTTTAGATTATCCAAGATTTCGGTTCAATAGCAGCATGCTGTCTAAACGCAGCTTGTCTCGCTCTTATTGACTCCGGTTTCACTATGAAATACACCATCGCTGCAGTCTCTTTGACCCTCAAAACCCCATCTGGCAGCGAATCAATCGACGATATCGAAATTGGCGTCGAACAGATAAACCCTTCAGAAAAAGAACATCCTCTAACTATTGGTTATTCGGACAAAAAAGAAAATGTGAGAATTGTGACCCTAGCATTGATGAATAAAACAAGTCAGGGTTCAAGTTTGTCAGGTCAAGTTGTGACCTCGCATTGCAGTGGATCACTGACTGAAACTGAATTTGAAACTTGCACTGAAATTGCAAATTTGAGTGTGACTCAGATTTTTGATGCTTACAAGCAATGTTTGAGAAAAATAATTTTGTGATAGATTTACCTTCTGTTCTTGACTGATTTTCTCTAATTTATTTTTTTCTCAGTTGTTTTGAAAATTTTAGTTTCAGTTTATCAATCGTCCATGTTCTCGGTCGATAAAATACATTTGTAAAATACATTTTCGGTCGATTATTTTTATCGATTTTTCCATGTCAACATTTTTTTTTGTTCATACAGTTTTTGAATTTTGGTAAAATCGTAAATAACGATAGACAAAGGTGAAAGACCTTAGAAGTTCAGCAATTTTGGCACTATTATAATTTTGGCTGGAATGATAAGTAACTCTATTTTCATTTTTCGTAAGTTTCTGATGTAAATGGAGTTGTGGCCTATCCGGTAGTGGTGGTACACAGAAATCTTATGATTGCGGGTTCAAATCACAAATGCGCTGCAAATTTCAAGGTGAGGGCTTGCAAGATAGCTTAATGGGCCCATCCTGATTAAGTGAACGCTAGTTCAACCTTAAACAATTAGCCTCCGGGTTAGACCTCCGGGCTGGTTGACGAAAAAAGCATGCAATATATATTTCTCGAAAAATGAACAATCATAATCACAGAAATACTGTTTTTTCAAAAGAGTTGCCTCAATTTTTGACTAATTTTAACATTTTCGAAGAATAAGGAAAACCTAAATTGTCAAAATAATTTTCATAAATTAAATGTTTCGTTAGAATTTTGACATAAATTTAAATGTTTCATTTCTCATCAATAAAAACTCATCAATGTCAACAAGTTTGTAGGAGATCTGACAGTTTATTAGCTCCGAATTCAGAAATGAGAAATGCGCTCAAATGTAATACGCTTTCAAATAATGGACTTCATTTTTCATTAAAAATGATATTTACATGATGAGCTTGTGTTCATAAATTGAACCATTGACGCTATAAATATTCCGCCTACTTTCAAAATAAGTTCTCTGTTTTGGCGTTTATATAAGAGCGGTATTGCTCGTTTAGTGTCCAAGTGGTTATGTATTTGACTGTTGTAAAATATAATGGCCATCTGGTGTTTATACCCACTTACGGTTTGAAATTCCCGGTTTTTTTGTTTTGATTCTTTAACTTATTAATCCGACTATTGAAAATAGGAATGAACTTTGGATTTGGGTGTGTTTTAGTTTTTTTCTCGCAAAATCAAGAACCACTTACAATCATCGGAATGGGTCGAGTGATATATCATATCAAAGCCCTTCCAATCGTAATTCGAACTACCTTTAAAATGTTCTAAAAATTTCCCAGTGTCGAGAAAAACTGGTTTAAATTTTTTTAGTTTTAGTTTAATTTTGAGCGAGTTAAGCGATCAAATAACTTTCGTTATCTAAAAATTTAACGCAAAGAAAAATTAATTTATTTGAATGAAAACTATCTAACGCTTTTTTATAGGCAAAAATGCAGCTTATTTTAGCGCTACTTTGGCAAAAGAATTTTTTTGAAAATTATCTAAAATTAAAGTGAAAAAAATTGAACTAATTTCGATTTTTTTTGTTGGTTATTCTTTTTTTAGGACAGATATTGTAGATTATGTATGCCTAACTCACTAATTTTCTATATGTTTTTATATTTTTCTCTTGACATTGTACAGTCATTGTTTTTTATGAATCTGGTCAAAGCATTCTGTGCTGCTTGCACAGCAAATGTCTATCCTTGTTTATATTGTTATTGAATGTGATTTTTAATGAATAAGTGATTTTTCACTTATTTAGGACGGGTTTGTTTTCAGAAAAAATCTAAAAAAAATTATCACCCTTCAGACCTTTTGGCTAAATACAAGGTAAACAAGGATAGCTGGTGGCTGTGCAAGTAGCACATATTGTTCCGGTCATATTTATAATAAAAACTTTTAATAAGTATTTTTCAGTATTTTTTAAAACGTATTTTCGTTTCAAGTGCTTGATCTGATTCGAGAATTATATAATATACAATCGTATAGAAACTTAGTAACTTAGATATAACCGACAACATTTGTCTTCAAAAAAATGAACGAAAACTAAAAATAAAACATAAAATTAAACTTTTTCTCATATTTTTAGTGGTCGCGACAATTATGATTTTCAATAAAAACAGAGCAAGTTGCGCGGAAAAAAAGGATCTTCAGTTAAGGTTTGAATAGTCAATACTAACTTTCAAGTGTCCGAGGGGATTAAAAACCAATCTGTTCATCAGTTTTCTCAATGAAATTGAAAATATTTTCATTACGAGGCCAAACTGTGCATTTTCTGCATTGTAAGCGAATTCCGCAACAAGGAGGCTCCCTTTGTTCTTCTTTTGTCCTTTAATTTCCTTTGATCGTTCCGACAAAATTTTAACAAGTTTAAAGGCTTGTCTCTGGAATCCAGGAACATACAGACACAAAAATGTGCACCTAATCGCTACTGAATAGGCACGAAGACTAATGCGACTTCAGTTACCGTCGTCCTTTTCGGAAATAGACTAAAAAGTTAGGAAAACTGTTCCCATCGGAAGCAAGGTTTCTTTCCAGTCACAATGTGGTAAAACAGTGTTCGGGTTTTTTGTTCCGATCATTGAAAATGGGGAGGAACTTTGTATTCGGGTGTGGTTTAGTTTTTACTTTTGTGCCGCGCAAAATCACTTACCACAAATAATTGGAATGGGTAAAATGATAAATCATGAAAAATCCCTTTCAGTCGTGATTCGAACGACATTGAAAAGATTTTTCAAACATCTGACCCAGTGTTCAGAAAAACTTTTTTTGAAACTATTGAGGTTTTATTTTTTTTCGAGCGAGTAACGTTCGTTGTGTAGAACTTTTTCTGTTTTTTCGTTTTTGTAAAACAAATGTCGCTCATGCCTAATTCAATAATATTATCCGCAATATTATTGTTCTCGAATCTCACCGCCCACTAAAAACGACACTAATTTGAAGAAAAGTGAAAAAATACACGTGGCCAAAACATTCTGTGCTACTTGTTTCAGTATATTTTTAGTCTAAATTATTACCGTTTTTGCAATAAGACAGCTTACTTCAAGCGTTTTTTCTGGATGAAAAGAATTTTGAAATTTTATTTTGACGGCCAGCAAATTGGTACTCTTCTGGTCATTTCAGGCAATTTTGAAACAAGGAAGCACATGTAAAGCGAAGCTGCAAAGCTTAAAACCAAATTTCAGTTTAGTTGCAGTTTATCAGTTAATTCGGACTAATTAATTCAGACATCAATAATTCAGGCTATGGCTATTTCTAAAAAATTTTATTAAATACATTGACAATCAGAACATTCATGAGAGATCATAATTTTGTTCACGTGCTCGAAGTTCCGTACGGCTTCCCAAATGAGCTACTCAAAGCAGAGTCTCCCAATTTGGCCTGCTGGTTGTTAAGTTCATCCGAGTTCACTAAGTTGGACTCCATAATCTCATTGTACACTTGGCTGTTGACTCTCGAGGTGGAGGGTGGGACGAATGGGCGGTAGAAACAGGCGAGGATGATGAAGAGGATGGCACCAAGGAGGATTATTGCGGAAACAATGAAGAACTGCATCACCTGAACAACCATCGATGCTTGAACAATTCCAAAAAACATATTTAGTAGATTATAGGAACTATATCAGAAAAAGACAATACTATTTGATTTTTTTTTCTGGAAAAATCGTTAGTTAAAACCATATTTATTGCTCAAGTGTGAAATTTAAAACCTCGAGATTTGACAGACCACTAAAAATACCCAGTTACTGCGCTACATTTCTGATTGGTTTTTGTTAACACAAAAATTTTGTCATTCGGTGAAGTTTCCTGATATTGTGCTATAAAATTGACTCACCGTCTGGTACTGTCCCAAGATTGAGCTGAAGAGGACGATGTCAATCAGATTTCCAAGGGCATCTCCTAGTAACCAGATGGCCTGAGCACAAGACTTCACGCCAGCACCCGCCTAAAATTGTATTTTTGTTGAAAATCACACGCTGAAATTGACGCCATAAACTAGACCAAAGTTGGATTAAAAAAGCGGAAACAAAAAATTAAAAAACAAAAACAGCTTGGCCACGGTGTCAGTTCAGTCAGTGGGGTTAGTGCCAAATCAGTCCGAATATCTCAGAGCAGTCAGTGCTATATCAGAGCCAGCAAACGAGTACCAGTGCCACCAGTTTTTTATTTTAAATAATCACTTAATTGCTAATGAAATTAAATCATTTTGCTAGTGTGTGTCATGGTTTTACTAAATGCATTTTAATTGAACAAAAACTAAATTTTGGGGACGTAGTTCAAATATAAATCAAAAATAATCTATTTAAATTCAAATTGACTCAAGAGACCTTTCAATCAGTTGCCACTGATCGATCTTCCTTAAAAATAGATTAGAAAGAGTCTCTAAAATCACTATTCTGAAAATTAAACAATTGCAAAATAAATTAGGGTCTTGGTCTTCAATTTGATACCATATTAAATCTGAACGTCTGAAACAGCAGTTTTCGATGTAATGGCCGTTAAATTGTTCCTGAGAAATATAACTTTTTGGTTTTTTTTGCTCTCTTCAATGGGACTGCTTTCGTAGTTGATTCTTCTGTATGCTAGTAGAATACTGTGTTTCGTTTTCCAGAGATGACACACTAATTACCAATTGAGAAACATTGATACTGATAGTATTTTGTGATTCAGTTTTAGACCAAATGAAACATCGAATTTCTTTCTTTTGCAACAGGTCTTAATTGCCCAATTCTATTTGCTGAATTGTTCAAAATCAAAAATCTAAGTAGGTTTATACGTTATAGGTTTTTTTTCAAGTAGTAGGAGCAGTTCTGAGAAGAAATTAGTTTGGTTGAAAAGAGTTGGGTCAAAAAACCAAAAACAGGCTATTTTTTTTTAAAATGTCAGTGCTTGGCATCTTTTTTCATCAGTGCGACTATCAGTGCCGTCAGTGCCTGAGATTTCTTAGTCACTGTTGCCACCCTGACAATGACCAAGCTGAAAATTAAAAAAATCAAAATTGAAAGTGGCGATATTAAGTTATATGGTGCCTTCTTTTTCAGCTCAATTTTGTTGCTTTTTTCATTATCTAAAATGACTTTATTCCTAACAAAAGCTCAGATTGCCAAAATGCATAAATAAATACTGCATCTCTATTGTCAATAAGATAATGATACCTTAGGAAAATGATCTCTATAGTCAATAAGAAAAAATTCCGGGAAAATTACGACCGGGAAAATTCATATTTCACCGAGTTCCTCGTTTGTGCGACAAAAAAGGAAAGATACCTACTGTGCTTTTGGGCAAGAGCACTGATAGTCAATTTTCATCTGTATATTAATTGAAATAGTGTATTATTTTGGAGGTATCATCAGTTTACATCAACTGTCTTTAACAAATTTTTGAAAAAAAAACAGTGTGTTATATTTTTCTGGTTTCCATTAGTTCATTGGCGCTTTCAAAGTTCTGCTGGCAATTTTTCAGTTAGCAAGTTTTTTTTTGGATTTTAGTCAACATTCTCAAGAGTTGACCCGCTCTGCTCTCGGGATGCTCCATTCAAGCCCCCCATAGCGTCGTCTTCGGCCTTGAATTTCTCGGCATCGGCAACCATTCGATCGATGTCCTGCTGACTCAGTCGATTTTGGACGTTCGTAACCTTAACTCCAGTACACCAATTAGAGTCAGCAGTGACAGTCAGCATGTAGTTTGAATCAACGTAGAAAGACACCTCGATCTGCGGGACTCCCCGAGGCGCAGGTCGAATTCCTTGCAAAGTGAAAGATCCCAGCAGATTGTTATCCTTGATCGTTTCTCCTTCTCCCTCAAAAACCTGAACCGTGACTTCTGGTTGATTATGGGTAGAAGTAGTTATGTTCAGGGTTGGAATGGGCAGGGTTGGAACTTTCGTGTTTCTCTTGACAATTTTCGCCATTGTTCCTCCGGCAGTTTCGATTCCAAGCGACAGAGGTACAACGTCGATCAGAAGAATGCCATTGATCGCTTCCTCTTTGACGCTCGTCAGAACAGCAGCTTGAACTGCAGCGCCATAAGCAACTGCTTCATCTGGATTGATTGAGCAGTTCAGCTGTTTGCCATTGAAGAATTCTTCTAGAAGTTTCCTGATCTTTGGAATCCTGGTTGAACCTCCGACCAACACCACTTCATGAATGTCACTTTTGCTCAATTGAGCATCTCTAAGAGCTCTAGTCACTGGTTCCAAAGTTCTTCGGAAAAGATTGTTGCACAAGTCTTCGAATCGAGATCTGGTGATGGTGCTGTAGAAGTCGATCCCTTGGTACAAAGAGTCAATCTCGATTGTGGCTTGGGCACTGGATGACAGGGTTCTCTTGGCATTCTCAGCAGCAATTCTGAGTCTCATCAAAGATTTTTTATTCTGCGAGGGATCATGTTTGAACTTTTTCTTGAACTCCAGGTATAGATGTTCCACGAGACGGTTGTCAAAATCTTCGCCACCCAAATGAGTGTCACCGGCTGTAGTTTTGACTTCCCATACTCCGTGTTGAGCTGTTAGAATTGAAACGTTGGAATTCCCTCCTCCCAAGTCAAAAATCAAGACATTGCTTTCACTATCCGTCTTCTTGTACAGACCATACGCCAAAGCAGCTGCTGTTGTTGCATTGATGATTCTCAAGAAATTCAGTCCAGCAATAGCTCCGGCGTCTTTGATCGCGGCTCTCTGGGCGTTGTTAAAAAAAGTTGGAACTGTAATCACTGCATCTTTTACTGGTGCTCCCAAGTATGCCTCGGCTGTTTCCTTCATTTTCATCAATACCATCGAGCTGATTTCTTCGGCGTAGAATTTTTTCGTCTCGGCTTTATACTCAACTTCGATTTGTGGCTTGCCGTTGTTGTTTAGCACCTTGAAAGGCCAGAGCTTGATGTCTCTTTGAACAGTTCCCTCTGAGAACTTTCGGCCAATTAGACGGTGGGTGTCGAAAACTGTGTTCGTCGGATTCATCGCCGCTTGGTTTTTAGCAGCCTCTCCGACCATTCGCTCCGAGTCATTGAAAGAGACATAGGAAGGAGTGGTTCGGTTACCCATGTCATTGGCAATAATTTCCACTTTACCATTTTTGAACACCCCCAAACATGAGAAGGTGGTTCCCAAGTCAATACCAATAGCGGGTGCTGTTCTTGCCATACTTTGTGGCTTTTTCAGTTCAAACAGTTTTTTCTATAGTTTCAGCGATTTTGTTTTTAAATCAAAAATGAAGGCAAGAAATTGAACAGTAGCTGGTAGATGCGTTAGCAGTAGCAATAGTGTAATGAAGTTGTTGGTATTTATACTTGAAGACACTGATAGCTCGAGATTATGATAGAACACAGAGAAAGTTCCATACGAAAGAAGTTTATTCGGCTTTATAATTCGGCTTCATATTCGGATTTAACTTATTTTTTTTTACACTTTGGCAGATTTATTCGCTCGTGATGTAGTGGCTGGCTCTAGAAAACAGACAATCAATATCCGCCACGCCCCCAAAAAATTATGTTACATTGAGCAAATTCTGCTGCTTAACAAAAAAATGCTTTTTTTCAGCTTTATGGAAAATTTTCATTAATCATGTTTTTATCACAAAAAATTACTCTTACTATTGCTTTTAGAGATAAATAATGCAATTTGGAAAAAAAGTAGAGCAATTTTAGAAAAAAAAATAGATGATTAGTAGAGTCGTGGGTAGAATCATATTTGATATTTCTGAGAAATATAGTTTGCAATTTCATTTTTTAGTATGTAGTTTTTCAAATGCTACACTAATAATACAGAAGGCTATCGTGAGACTCCTTTCTATTTTTAACTTAATCACACTTTAAAATCAGATAGCTTTTTCAGTCTAACCAATGAATCAGATCTAAACAAGACGACTGAGCATAAAGTTTTAAAATTAAAAATCAATTCTTTGTTTTTGGTTTCTGAAACGAAATTTTTTGTTCCTTCAGTTTTATGAACCTTGATAAAAATCAAATCCATTAGTATTGTTAAGGAACGAGATGTTTATGTCAAGCGGAATGTGTCTATTGCTTATGTCTCTAATGACAGGCAATGCGGCGAATCTCCCATTGCTCTGAATATTAAAGTAGCTAAAGCAGGTGAAAAAGAGTAAGTTCGCCCTGTTTCAATAAAAACTATTTTTTGATCTTGAAAATGAATAAATTGCAGAAGTCTGTGTCCTAAAGTACGGTGAAAAAGAGATTAAGATAGGACTGAAGACTAGATAGTAGATGCAGAAATATCCAAACTGAACTGGTTTTGGATGAGCCTGCCTGTATTTTCTATTACAGGTTAAATTCCACAAAAACAGATGATTCTCAATTTCTAAATTTCTAACACTTAAAATACAGTAACTTATTCTTCGAATTTCAAAAAAAAAATTCGAAAAAGCAACAATCAATCCTGTAAACTAGGGGGCATCAGCGGGAAATCATGCTAGCGATGCTACAAGAAATCAGAGACGAAAAATATGGACTGCTCTTTTCACCCGATGATATGTAGTAACTTCCCTCATGCAGTATATGCAGTAACTTCCCTCAAATTGTAAAGATAGAGAAAACAATTGTTATGCTATAGCCCCTATATGCAACTAATTTTACAATTGGGGAACATTTATGTCTAAGTTCTACACTTTCATTTAGTCATCGTCATTTCTAAAAGTTTATCGATTAACATCAATTTTGACTCAACGTTAAAATAGATTTGTTATAAAATAAACCTATAATTAGGAATAGTCGTTAAGAATAGACCTATAACAAGACTGCTTGTATCAAGGCGAAGCCCTGAATGTTCCGACTGCCTTTTAGGGTTTATGGAGCAGCAGTAATAACATAAAAAAATTAAATGAAATAAAAAATAATTTTTTTTTAAAGTTGAAATTTTTAATGAAAATCATCCCCCCACACGCCATATAAAGTACAGAAAGAGAGATTTTGTTCCTAGTAACAAATCAATTATGGCAAATAACCTTCGTTCAACCAATTTGGAACGATTTATAGGACGGATTAAATCTCCGCTTACGCGTTAATAGCGCGAATTATATCGCTCGTTAATTGTCCCAAATTGGTCAAAATGGCAATCTTAAAACCCTCATAACTTTTAAAAAAATAATCACAGGTGAAATATCTTTTCAAATTTAAGCTCAGTACAACAATACCTTTCGAATGATATAAAAAAACTTCCGTCAAAAATAGTTAGTTAAAAAGTCGAAATTTGTCTGAAGAAAAAAACCTCACCCCGAGCACAAATATTCCGTTACATTCGTATCGAAAGTCGGAACAATAATGTATGTAGTTATGCAAAATTTTCTACATACAGATTTTAAAAAACAAAAAACAATCTTTTGTTTTTGCAAAGCATTGGAAGTTAGACACTGTTAGTCAGTTTTCAAGTTCAAAAAGCTAGTTACGGTCGCTATCTATCTTTATGCTCCGCATTATAGTTGATCAACTTTTTGCCAGTTACACCTAAATAGGGTCAAACATTATCAAAATTATTCTTTCACACAACTGTTAATGACAGTTAATGACGGTAATGGCAAAGAAAGTGTACTCTGAAAGAGTGATAATTTGATTTCACTCGCCCTCAAAATGATCAAACCTGGGCCAATTCAGTGTCAGTTTGCTTTGTAGCAATGTAATTTATGTTTAAAAATTTCCTTACTTCTAATATTTTTTTCATATATCGGATATGAAAGGAAAGCTAAAGAAAAATCTGACCCTAAAAATCTGACCTCAAAAACAGCAGAAACTTTTGAAGAAGAATTTTAAATAGCAAGTTGTGCTGAAAATGTTGGTAAGATTTCTTCATGTGTGGGTAACATCACCTAAAAGCAGTTTTAAGTGCACTGAAGCAAAAACTCGATTATCATCCGAAAGTTCACATGAAAAAATTGTGAGGTTGCGGATACGTCTTTTTTACTTATCATGTTGTTTTGTCAAAGAATGAAAAATGTTTTATTTCAAATGACAGCGTTTTTTCAACTTTTCCATGGAATCTGAAAAGGGAGTGCGAATATGGTAGATGCCTGTACTCTACAAAAACCTCAAAATTAGATCAAAATTTCAGATGGATAATCTCAGTGATTTTTTTTGCATTTTCAGTTCAAAACTTTTTTTTACTGCAAAAAATGACCAATCTTGAAACAGATTTTCATTTAAACAAATTTCATTCAAAGTTTTTTAAAATTTTTTCAAATTTTTTCGAAATTTTGTTGTATCGTTAAATTAAATTTGAAATACTAAAAAATGAAATGAAAAACCAATTCAAATCAACAGAAAATCACTATAATTGAGTTTTTCTTAATGTCTTAAATGAAAATAGCTACGATAGTTTTTTTTATTGGTCTATCAGATTTGACATAAACGGGTAATCTTCGATTAGTAAATAGAAAATATTTTTTCAACTTTTTTGTTTTGCAACAGCTGAAAATAGCTGAAAACCAGCTCAAAACGATCATTTTTTGGAATATATTTTATCATAGTAAAATGGAAATGAGTGATTCGAAAAATGATTCAAAATACGTCGGGTAGTTTTTTCGATTTTGGTACACGATTGCTAGATTTTCCGACAAAAATTTTAGAGTTGGCCCACGTAATCAACAGCTTGATCCACGTCTACAAAAATCATAGCCAGTTGGTTTTTAATTTCGAGAATTCCACGACTGTTTGAAAAAATGTCTACGGTCAGCAAAAAACATAAAAACACTAAAAATATCACGTGATGAGCGTGTTCAGTGGGTTAAAGGCTGGTTATTATACAAAAAAAAACAATATTCACGGACTAGGAATTCCAATGCTAAATCGACTGGATCCATCTTAACTTTTAACATTTGTGTGCATAGATCATTCTAGCGGGTATTAAGTAAAATGCGATTTGAAGACGCCAAACAATATGTTCATTGAAACCATAAATTGTCTGTTTTCGACGAAGATTTATCTAAATTTCACCTAAGATTATTTTTTGCAGAAACATTTGTACTTCCTCTGAGACGCTTTTTTTTGCTCTGAGACGCTGCATTGAAAAAGTTCACTCGGACTCTGGTACCCAATGTTGTGTGCACACAATTTAATACACAAATACGTCTCGCGTATGAAAATTATCTCTAGGAATGGTCTGTGTCAAAGAGTAGCGCGTAGAATTTATACAAAGTGGACCTCTCTGGTGGCAAGGAAACGCTGAATTGGTATTTATTGTGGTGGTGTGGTTAAAAAAGGCTGAAGGCTGAAAAACTTTATCGTCAAGCTAATATTGTCAATTACCGTGGTTCAATTTGTTTCACATGATGCTGCCAACCGGCCTAATGAGCGACCGTTGGGACGAAAACCTAGTCATCCTGCTTTTGATTTCTTTTTATGTCGAAGTAATTTGCTTCTAGGTAAAGCTTCTAATGTCTACTCTCGCTTTATTAGTTTACGTAATAGTAATTCAGCTAGATATCGTTGGTTGAAGCTGTTTTCAACGTAATCTGGAAAAATTGGTTTAAGAATTCTTTGCCTGGAATGGCGTTCTACAAGCGTTGAAAAAACTCACTGCAACTTCCAAATTGCTATGTCGTTTAGTGGGTCAAAGATTAAAATTCAGTCAGAGTCTTATGAAATTAGGTTTTTATTTCAAATGTTAGTCAAGGAGGAGAAGGTTTATTACGACTTTGAGTTAGCTAGGCAGACAATGCAAAACTCCATCATATCTCGACCAATACAAGTTTGGTTTTTGTTCTTCCAGAAGTAGAAAAAAATACTTTCGAAATTGGGGCCGAGTGTGTTTTGGACAAGAGTATAATTGGCCAATTTTTAAACGTATACTAATCGAAAGAGTCAGGGCCGGATCTACGTTTTTCTCGAGGAGGGGGGGGGGCAAAATTTCAAAATATTTTTGATGATTTTATTGATCATTTTTTCAGGTCGACCAAATTGATTGTGTGAGTTTTCTCAGAATACTATAAAAAGCGTGTTTTTATCAAATTTTCTGCGCCATTTTGGGGCACTTTTTGAAAAAAATTTATTGAAAATTTGCGTTTTTTCGGCACGCGTTCTCTTTCAAGGTAGTATATATTGGCGCCAAAAGAGCATCTAAAAAATATGGTTGGTCGGCCGAAAATGGATGTCAGAAAATTTCAACAAAGGGTTTGATCCGCTCCACCTTCATACTCCCTAAACCCGCTGCTGCAAAGAGTGTATCAATTAGGGACTGATACAGGGGCGGATTTAGGGGGGGGGGGGGCGGACGCCCCCTTCCCCTCAGGGATTCGACCCCCTGCCGACCCAAAGGGTCCCCCATTTGATACTTTTTCAGAAATCCATTTTTGGCCAACCGACCCTAAAATTATATATACTAACTTTATATATGCTGACGCCAATATATACTAACTTTGAGGGGGAGCGCGCGCCAAAAAAAACGCGATTTTTTTGTCAACAATTTTTTTTTCAAAAAGTGCAAAAAAGTGCAAGGCGGCGCAGAAAATTTTGCCAATGCTTTGGGAGAGCTCGAAAAATCAAAGTTTTGTTAAAGTTGAGGAATTTTGATTGTAAATATTGTGTTAAGAGCTTTTAAACTTTGTGTAAAATTGTACATCTCTCTTTGATGGAAATTATAACTATTAACCAACGTGAAGAACCAACGTGTTTTGAACTAATAAACCACACGTAAACAAGCAGCAAAAATGTTATTTTTCTGCAGTAAAAATTGCGTAAAGCTAGCTTAATTTGAACTTGTCATCCGCAATTTCAGAAAAAATCATTTCAAAAATTTTGCTATATAGAACTAAGCGATTCTGCTACGAAAGTTTTTTACAATTATAATGGACTGCAAGAACTGTTTTTGCAGCGGGTGAAATGCTTACCTCTGAGTAGGCGAAGTCCAGACCCGTGACAGACACCAGCACTTCTGCCAGAGTGAGTATGATGTACTGAGGGATCTGCCAGTAGATCATCACACTCTCCTCGGAGTCCAGCACTGGCCACACTTGCTGGATGAATTGAGCCTCTTCTTCTGTTCCGTTGGCCTGTGAATATAATTTAAGATGGTTCCAATCATTTTTTATAAAAAAAAAACTCAAAAGCGCCAGCAAATAAAGGCAAAACTGTTTGCGAAGTTTTGGCAAAAGTGTTTTTTTTTCCTTAAAACTATATTGCTAACGGACCTAAAAACCACTCGTAACATGGTTGATCTTGAAAGTTGGATGTTTTTGTGGCTAGAAAGATAGTTTACTATAGTTCTGTTTGATAACGGAAGTTTATCAGAGAGGGAAAAGGGCAACAGATGAGCATATCATTTTCCAACTCGGAACACATCTAACGCCCGGATGACTAAAAATAGCTTACTTTGGGGTTTTCTGTGAAAGAGATGAGGTAAATGCCTCCATAGTTGGCGTCAAACTGTGTCTCACTCTCAAAATCCACAAACTCAGAGAACGTCACCTGAGCGTAGACTGTTTTGCTAAAACGAATTTATTTTGTCAAATGACTTTTTCAATCGAGCTGCGATAGAGGTGATTGCATTTAAATTAAAAGCGTCCGAAACGTTTTTCAGTTAACCAGGCAGAAGCTTAACCCGTAGGATGATTATCTGAAGTTAACCAAGCGGTTTTAACCAAGCTGGTTTAAGACAATGACAATCTTCAGGAGCTCGCCTCCCAAATTGCAGCGCACGTAAAATTTAGAACCCCAACCATATGATTGCTGGGCACCATCACAGCCGATTTCATTTTAAGCAAGAAGAGCAAGTTATTGTGAAAGTAAAGCAAAATGTTCTGACCAAAATGATTCAAAGAAAAGAACTTCAAACATTGAGAAGGATTTTAAAAACATTTAAAAAACTACTTTTTTTCAAAAAGTTTCTGTTGATTTTATATAAAGAGCGAATGAATTAGATGAAAAACGGCAAGAATGAAAAATGATTATCGCTGAGATATCATTGAAGAAGTTTTACTTGTAAAGTTACGTTGAAGTTTGAAAAAGGAGGCCAACATTTCTTTGCTTTATGACAAATTATTGTCAAAAACGAAAAACGAAAAACAAATAGCGTTCAGACCAATATTCTGCATCTGAAAGTTAATAAAACCCGAAACGCGGCCAGCAAGATGGTTTTAAGATACCACTTTTTACCTTCTAGGTCTTATCCTTGAGGCACCAACTTTTGGGCGGAAAAAACACTCTTCCTGTTATGATCTTCATACTGCAAAAAGGTTATTGAAAAGTTCCTAAATTTTCATTTACCTTAATTTTCATTTATTTGTTAAACTTGTTCCAAATTTTTGAAACAAAATTTTTGTCTGTTTGAAAAATTAAAAAAACAGTTTTTAAGGTAATTCTGAATCAGATTATTTTTCGATAATACCTTCTATTTTGTATGGAAGAATTCTTGTTTCTATGGAACAGTATAGAATTGTATAGTTAGGCTAACTAGGGTAGCTTTTTTACGTACCATGTAACTTTTTTGATGTTTTGTGACCAACCGGGAACACCACAATCCCCCATTTAGGTTACAGAGGGGGTCAGAACAATAGCGAAAATTTTCAGGTAAGGTAAAATATGAAGAATCGCTGAAGGCACACTGCTTAGTAAGTCAATTTTTAATCCGCAAAAAAGTGTAAATGAAGAAAACAAAAAAAAGCTGGTATAAACATTGGATAAGAAAATATGTTTATCAGTTAATTCATGATACAACTGTAGGCAAAAACTTCAAATTATTGCCTGGTTCAACTTTTATTACTCTCTTTTCAGACAATAACATGCAAAAACTGAATTTAGAGCTAATTTTCTCGTTCTAATTGCTCACTTGTTGCCACTGTTGCCTTCTGCGTCTGCAACCACGAAGTCTCCCTGTGGGACTGAAAACTCTTCGCTTCCAACTTTGAACTCTGTCGTTGCATTCAGTGGAGAGAAAAACCTGAAACGAAACAGTTAGGTAATGATACTTTACTTTACAAGTATTTATTGACGTGCGCAGAAATTAAACTACGGGGGAGTATTCGTTAACTTTTTGTGTTCCGCGGGCACTTTTTGAAGGAAGTCCCTTTTTCAGACTTTTTGAAAAAATTGTTTCAATAGATAAATAAGTAAATAAAATTGACGCGGCCCTCAAAACTAGTATACACATTGAAGCCTATGGCGTCTTCAGAAATCCTTATCAGTTGGTCAGCTGAAACGGGTTTTCGTAAAACAGTAGCAAAGGGGGATCTGGGAACATTTTGCAGCGAGAATTGAGGAGGAGAGGCGCTACTGAAAGAACGACAGTTGTGAAATATGTTATTTAAGTAATCAACTTACGAGAAGTAGCAATCGGCAGCAGTCGGCGAGCTCTCTTCACTCTTGCTCTAAATTATGATCAAAATGTCAAAACTTGAAGCAGAAATAAATGACAGAAAATATAAACTAAACAATAAATACACTTACACAAAATCTCAGAATACACAGCGCATTTCTGAGGAGAAGACGGTTCTCTTAAATTACTTCGCCCCTATGGTAGCTAATAAAGAATAACCACCCTCATAAAGACTAATTCAAAATTAAGCAGAAGCATATGCGAATTTTGTACCTAAAATATTAGTAACAATTCTAAATATTAGTACTTAAGTATATTTTCCCTTTCAAAGGAGGAGGAGGGTGGGGGGGGGGGGGGGGGTGATTAAAGAGGTCCGAACATACCAGAAAAACATCAACTAAAAGCCTACCTGTTGGTAGTATGTGAGGTCCCCCTTGTCAGAGTAGAGATACACATAAGTGGCCTTCTCAGCCCCACTCTCCACTCCTGTGATGTTGAATGGGCTGATTGAGTGCACATATAGACTGCAGTTCACTCCAGGTGTGAACTCCATCTCAACACTGTCTCCATAGTTGTACACGTGTCGGATCAAGTTCTGCAAATTAAGAACAAAATCCCCACTAATAATCTTAAATTTTTGGTTGATTTTTACTTAATTGTCGCATAATTTTTTTGGCTGCTTATGTACTTTCTCTATAGTAATTCAAAAGTTGGATCAAGTTCTGCAAATTATCAACAGAAATCATCCAAAATTGACTCACAAAAATTAATAATAAATTTGTTTCAAGTAGTGCAAAAATCCAACAATATAGAAAGCTTATCATTGATAGAGCACCAACTTGAGCAAACGCAGAAAGTGATTCAACCTGTTGAAGCGCCGCTGAGAAATTTCTATTGAGTACTGTTTTATATGGACCTGGTTGTTTAATCCAAGTAACATTTACACAGAAAAAAAAGATAGTCGATTTAAAAAGAAAATTAAAATTCAAAATATTACAGTTGCTTTATCTTGCATCTAATTGATATGTTTTTACAGAAATATTTAGAGCAAAAAAAAGTAGCAAAAAACAGTTTTCAGACTTGAAAATTATATTTTATATTATTTCCTTTTTTTCAAATAATATGATGTTTCTTTTGGGTGTTCGCTTTATAGTTCAATTTAAAAAAAAACAACTACTCAAAACTTTTTTTTTACCAAAACCATTTATTGAAGTAGTCGCAATCAACTAAATAAGTTTCTCTGATTTTGTGCATAAGGTTGTCTATAGACTGTTTAGTTATTGCACAGATATTGACTTTTTGTTATTTCGTGTTAGTTTTTTTGTTGTGAGTGATTTTATTTTTCTGGTGGTATCAAGTGATTTGTCCAATTTTTGTTTTGAAAATTTTTTTTTTCACGTTGTCATTTTCATGTTCTCGTCTTATTACTTTAGAGAAAAATTTCAGCAGTTCGTATGCGTGTAATTCATTGATTGAGCAAATCCCCTGTGTTTTTCTTATAGTCCTTGATTCTTGTGTTTTTTTTGAGGCGAAACGCAACTCTAACTGAAAGTTTTGTTGTACTAGCAAATTTTTTAAAGCGGTTTTATTGGCAACTCCGTATATTAATACACCATATTGATAGATTGGTTGTTTAAACTGCTTGTATATTTTAATGAGAACAGATGAGCTATGAAACTGTCTTGTTTGATAAAAAATGGATATGAATCGATTTGTCGATCAAATCGATGAAAAAATTGTTCTGTTTTATTTATTGTCCCAAAATTTTTGTTTGTTTTAGTATTTTGGCCATACTTGTACACGTGTCAACCAATTTCTACGTTTTACTATATTTTTATCATCGAATATGACCATAAATGTTGGATGTCTTAACCTAAACAGCAAAAAATGAACTTTTTTGATTTAAACTAAAGGTTTGCAAGTAGTTTCCTTTGTGTTTTCATGTTTTTCGCAATAAAAATGTGGACTGTTTTAGTAGCTAAAAATGAGTTGTTTTTTTGAATAAAATATTATAGCATTTAAAGTAAACCAAAAGCATCGTGATGCAAACTTTCTTTGCCATGTTATTCAGTCAAGTCCAACAAGTCATCTCTTAGGCGTATTCCTGAACGCAATTTGAGCTATTTTGTTTTGCAGTAGCTGAGTAGCTCTTATAAAAAAAGCTAAGAGAAAAATTCCACCAAAATTCAATCATAATAGTTTTTTCAAGGAATAAAAGTAAGTATGACATCCACAAGATTTGAAATTTTTCGCCTCAAAAAAATAATTGAACGCAAACCGAATTAACTCAGTTTCATATATAAAAAGTCAAAGGAAACCAATTCATTTCTCCCGCAACTATGAAAAAAAAACTTGCATCGAAAAATAGTCAAGCCCCGGATGTGAAGAAAAATTGACTCAAGTAAAAATTATTTGAAAGTAACAATACCTCATAAGATTTTTAAAATAATTTTGAGGATTTTTTTCGTAAAAATGATAAACGTAGAGGAAAACGTTTGTTGCCTTCAATGTGCTGCTTTATGATAATTCTAAATCAATCTGAGCAATCTATTTTAGTTAATGTTTTGCTAATGATTTTTGTAGTGATAATTATTTATTATTCTTGTCAGGTTTTGCCAGGTTTTTGGTGAAAATTGAAGTTTGCTAGTGGATGCAAATCCGCTCAAAAATGTTTTAACCAAGGATTTTCTCATACATTAAAACCCACTGGTTGATTGGCAAGAACCTCGCACAAAAACTACACATGAAGATTTGCTTTTTAAATGAAAACAGTACTTTTTACACCGATTTTTTTTAAAAAAGTGCATTCTTGTGTATATGGCTTGAAAATTTTCGTCATGAAAATTTTTGCTTGAAAAATGTAGGCTGCTTTTTAAGAGATAAAGATTAACCTTGCCATTTGAAAACGGAAAAACAATAGTTGAGGTCTTACACAAAATGCAGATATGATTTTTGATTATTTTGTGTAGAAAAATGAGTCTTGAAATAAATTAAAGACAAAAACTTCCGAAAGAATTTTTTTGAGCATAAAAAGGACTTCGCGGTATTGCAAAATCGTAAGTTAACGAAATTTTTAATTAAATTTTTAAAAAAAGTTTTGTAAACCAATGATTTATTAGATTTCCTGAAAAGGTACTTAGCAGGTGTCCAGGCCTGGCTTTCAACTATTTTTTTATCACATGGTAAATTAATCCGACGCTTCAACTTTTCCGTCATTTAGCTATTGTGGAAATATCAGACTTTATTTTTTCAAAGATTTTCAAACTCAATTTTTTAGATTTTTCGGCAGGGTTCTTAGATAGGTCCTGCCAGGAATTCCAGGAATGCCCTGGAATCATGAATTTCCTGCTGGCATGAAGTCGAAGGTATTTCCTTGGTTATGTACTCCGTGTTACTCATTTCAAATCTTGATGTTTATCCTAATAAATCTATAAACATGTTGTTTGACGCCAAATTTGAATCTATTTATCGCCCAAAAAAAAACATATTTTTTCAGCGAAGTCTTGTGCAAGTTTAAAAAAAAATTTTTATTGGAAAAAAACTGTACCTGGTGTGGCACTCGTGTCTCTTCTTTGAGTAGTCCGTTCTCGTAGAAGTTCACATCCATGTGGCAGGGGAGAGTGTTCACAGCCCACACTGCCGTCTGCTTACTGGTCAGTCGGTCAAATGGAAGGGTGCCCTGGATTAAACACATTTGAATGAGAAATTTAAAAAATGATATGAACCAGGAAAGTCTTTAGAAGTGCAAAAATCTGATGTTTTGAAAGATTACACTTGCAAGAGCAAGTGTCTTGTAATTGTGAACTAGACTTTTTTCCCGTAAGCATTTTTTACAAGAAATTAAATTGGCTTTTTTATTGAACCTTAATAATTTCCAGACTCTTTTTTCAGTATGTAGATAATCGAAAAAAAATTCCGGCAAAAATTGAACTGTCGGATTTTTTATTTCCCTGCTCAATTTTTTGTCGGCTTAGGTGTCACATAACGGATTTTTGTTGTGCTGTTATTTAATATCATGGTAGTTGTTCATTAGTGTTGTTCATAGCAGTTTCAGGGGACTTGAAACTTTTTCAACTTTTCATTTAAAAAAATTTCGGCTCAACGGATAACCCGGGTTATATTTTAACTAGTCTTACGAAAATTTTGGTTCACCTAGTTTTTTTCAAGGTTTTTCTCTCTTTTTTTCGTTTTCTTTCTTCTTTAATGTTTGTTGTATTGCAAGTGGTGCGAGGCTCTACTTCGCCTCTGTGTTAATATAAATGCCACAATCTTCTTCTGAAGTAAATTAACAAACTTTATGCGAAGTAGGATGATGATTCAATTCACATGGGTATTTTTTTTCAATTAATTCAAATTCAATCATTAAAACCCGATTTTGAGTTTGAAAATTTCACTGCTTGTTTGGAAACTCACGTCAATTTTGAGCTGCAGCATAGCGGCCATGACGAAAGCACCACAACCGAGCACCATCCCTACCCCCATCTTCTGAAGACGCCTGAAATGAAGGAATAAGCATCTGAGGGAGGGGGAGGGAGGGGTCCAATCAGAGTCGCGATCAGGTTCTATTACGATTCAATGCAAACTAAACTCAATTGGCCATACCTGTTAGTTTGAATGGCTCATCTGAACAATTTCGTTCTCTAAACCACGGAGTTCCTTATGCGCGGGGGACAGAATGCGCGAAAATTATGTCAGCCAATCAGAGCTCATTATTCAAAAATTTGAAGGGATTTAGCAATAAATTCAGTCCGTTTTCGATATTTTAAAGAACGCTGATTAATTTAAAAATTTCCCGCTTTCGGTCCTCCGCGCATCAGAATTGCCGCCGCAATCAACATGCAAACTGCTGAATTCCTATTGGCTGAAAATTGTTTTCTTCTCTCATGTCACTACATTTAACTAAGTGTCTACGGGAGGGTGGGAGAGATTGTTCACTTGGTGGAAAACTAGGGTGGCAACTTACGTGCGCATAATGTGGCATTTGTGCAGTAGGGGGTAAATGATGTTGTATGTGATGGGGACGAGTAAGATGACGAGGAGTGAGTTGATGAACTGCATCTGGTCAGGGTAGAGAGTGATGAAGCCCAAGTTGCCATTCATCTGTTGAGCCTAAAAGAGGGCAAGTCAAAGTTTATTAATTTTAAAGTTTATAGAAATATAAGTTTATAGAAAAATTATATTTCGTTTTCAGGAAGTTATAAATGCAAAACGTTTTTTAAGTGATCATAGAATTCGATCTTAGAAGAGTACAAAAAAGGGTACAGGCCTGACATATCGATTGGTGTCTTAATTTCTCAAAAATCCAAACTTGTAATTAAATCTTATTCGCCAAAGAGCAGCCAGCAATTCAGTTTTGGATAAACTGTACTGATTGGGTTTTTGTTCGAAACTTTTTTCTTTGCTAATGATGAAAGTTATCTTTGTCTCGACCAAGGGGTGGATCTAGGTTTCTCCTCAAGGGGAATGCGGATTTTGGAAAAATTTGGGTCTGTTTTCGTGGGTGGGCCGAATTGATTTTCCGGGTTCTCCCAACTTACAATGAAGACGCTTCCATACCAGTATCTGTGGGTCTGTCCGTCGAAAATGGATGTTGTAAAGTAGTAAGAAAGGGGTTCAAATTCTTGAATTCCCTCAATCTACCCCTGGTCTCGGCAAAAAGCCAGTCATACAAAAGGAAAACGGAGCTTTTTAAACAAAAAATGAATTTTTTGATGAAGAAGAACTCATCTAGAACCCAATGACCACGTTGAGGTCCAACGAGCCAGTTCATCGTAAGACTGCTAATGTGACACTAGCCTGTATGGTCCATGTGGATCCCTGCTGGTCAAAGCCCATGAAAAAGATGGCAGTGGGCAGGGTCATGATGAAGATACGACCCAGCTGGGTGATCTCGTCCAGGAAACTTTTCTGAAAATTGCAAATATCATCAGTATTTTATGATCAAACAGTAAACAATTTTTTTTTTTTGCAATTCAAACATTCTCGAAACAGTTTCCTTAAATTAATTTTGGCGATTTTGAAAAAGGTCACTTCGTATTTGGGTGAAGCGTGATAGAGGAAGCACTCCTGTTTGCGACCCCCCTGCACTCTGTTCTTAACTGCAGATCCAATGGCACCACATGCCCGCACAATCATCGACTCACCAGTCACCTTAAAAGGAAAGAAAATTCATTTATAAACAAGAATAGCCGGTTACTGTGAAAGTAACACATAATGTTCCGACCAGTCTTAAGAAGTTACAACAAAATTATTTTTCCAATTAGAGTCATTTTTTAAGCTTGGTGTGATAAAGGAATCTATGCGAAAAATTAGATCTTGTGCGTTTTTGTCAGTCTTTGTAAAATATGCACATTGGAAAACAATTTTGATGACAAATAACAAGAAAAACAAAAAACATCAAAAAAATCTTAAGTTTTTAAAAATAATTTTTCTAATTTTTTTCCCGAAATTTTTGAAGTTTTTGATTCGTAAGATGAAGCTTACAACTCCAAAAACTAATTTCAATTGAGTAAAACTAAAATTTCAAGACTTAAATTAAGCATAAATAAGTTTTGAGCATGTCAGCCTGCTCACTCGCTCAAAATTAGACGAAAAAACAAAATCTTCAAACCGGTTTTTCTCGACTCCAGGATATATATTTTAAAAATGTTTGATGACGTTCGAATTACGACTGAAAATGCTTTAACATGATATAACACTCAACCCAGTCCAATCATTGTGTGTGCTACTTGATTTCGCGTGGAAAAAAAACTAAAGCACACCCGGATACAAAGTTCTTCGCCATCTTCAATGGTCGGAACAATAACTGTGCCGCAATCTTGGGAACCTTAGTGTTTGAGTTCTCTAGCTATCTTTCGAGACGTATGGTTTTTTTTTCATACCATGTAGGCACCTAAAGGCTTTTAAAAACATTTCGACAACTAATGTTTACCTGCCAAACGTAATGTTATTAATCGGTAACTAGCGAAACCATTTGGTTAGTAAATAAACTAAAAAACTCTTATCGAGTTCACCCTTTCGGCTTTTTCTCTTGTTTGATATATTTAAGCTAATTGTTCCGACCATTGAAAATGGGGAGAGTTTTTGTATTCGAGTGTGTTTTAGTTTTTTCTTTTTCCACGCAAAATCAGCTACCGCAAGTATCAATTGGGTGAGCTGAGTGATATATCATGTTAAATCTTTCAGTCGCGATTCGAACCACATTAAAAATTCCCAACATTTTTTCTAGTGTCAAGCGAATAAAAAGCAAGCAAGCAGGCTTAAAACAGCTAAATTATGCCTGATTTGAAACCTTAAAACTCAATTTGAAGCAAGTTAAACTAGTTTTTGGAGTTTTTAGCTTCATTTTGGGAACCAAAAATTTCAAAAAAGTCAAAAATTCCCTGCAAAAAAGTTGAAATTTAAAAAAAAAAAATTTTGAAGTTTTTTTTCTCTTTGTTCTACAAAATTTTTTGTCCAATTTTCCTGTATTATTATGACTGTCTAATTTGCCTAAGTTACGTTTTTACGTCAGATCTCTTAACATCAAGCAGAAAAAATTAAACTAAGTTAAAAAAACTTTCCAAAACGTAGTTTTCTAAAGAATATGGTTGGAGCATTCTGTGCTACTTGTACAGTAACCTGCTATCTTTGTATAAAATGGCTTTTGATGTTCTAGGCTGCAAAAAAATGTGTCATTGTACAACATTTTTTACATGCAATATGCGGAATAAATGATTTTGGACAAGTCTATTTAGTAATTTTTCAACTTTATAAGGGTATGGCAAAAATTTATAGTTTTGGTTTTACCTTCTTAGCCTCGTAGAGTGGTGTTCCGAGGACGAATATGACAATGGCGACCATGAACAGAGCGGCTGGGACTCCGAATGCGAGGGTGTAGCAGTCCTTGTCGAAGCACTGCACGTCTTCCCTGAGGATGGGGGTGAGGATCATGGAGATGAAGGCGCCTATGTTGATGGACACATAGAACACCGAGAAGAACATGTCTCGCAGGAGAGGCTGAAAAGTATAAAGTTCACTCATCGACAATCTTTGAAAACATTATTGAAACTCTGGAAAAAAATGATTGCTCAGATGTTAAAATTTTAACCGAAAATTTACAACGAAACAAATATATTGAGTTCCAGCTGAATCAAAAGTCTCGCAACAGTTTTTTTTTCAAATTATTGTTAGTAAATTACAGGGTCAATTGAAGCTAGCAACTCTACCTAGAATCGCCCAGAGGGATTAGCCCTCGATATCATGATATCTCAAAAAAAACAATCGGAGAAAAACAAAATTATATGGCGATTTGAATGATAAATTTATTTGAATATTAACGCTTAATTTAAATTCATCTTATTTTTTTTTCCAAATTATTGCCGTCGCTTATGACGTCATCAACACGGCATCACCTACTGTGTTGATGACGTCATACCAGTAGATGACATCATACCAGTTGATGACGTCAAACCTACTTTATCTTGTGGTATCTGGTCCCCTCCAAAGGCACACACACATGGCTTAATACCCCCAGTGCCCAGTGCAATGAGACTCAGTCCCAGAATAGTGCCTGCCACCATCTCATTGTGGGAGAACCAGATGGGCACAGTAGACACTGC